AGCTGGTCCCTTCCATTCTCCATCTTCGCATCCTTCCAGAAACAGCCTCCGTGAATGTGGGTCCCCTGCTTATACTCCCCAGACTAGACCCTCTATGATAAATGCCCCATTAGACAGCTACAGGTTAGACTATGTGATTTCTGAACTGGAAAGAATGCAGTCCACCCCCATCATTTTATAGGTATGGAAACTGAGGCCAAGGCTGGTTAAGTGAGTTACACACACTAGCTAGTAAATGGCTTAACTAAGAGGAAACCTGTAGCCAAAGCAAGCATTGGAATGGTCCTTGGAAAGGGGGTTAAGACTGGGGTACATCCTCAGCTGGATTTTTGCATAGTCTTCATAATAGAATGAAAAGAACTTAAGACTCAGAGTCAGAACGCCTGGGTGCAATACCTCCCCTTCCCCCCTTTGGAGGTTTCTGAGCCCCGTAGCCAAGACTATACCAACACTTACATCCCTCCTCTCCCCTCGCCTCCTTTCCCCACCAGCCTTTCTTTCAGAGGGGAAAAATAAAGGCTGGAAAGGTTCGTTGAGAGGAGAATGAAATAGGCATCCAGGCCCAGGGTTGCCGTGCAACGGACCAACCCCCAAATTAGAGCATGGTACGCTCACCTGATTCAGCCACTCCCCCCAAGTGGGTTTCTGAAGAGCCCAGCAGCCTGGCGGCGTCTGGAAAACCGACCAGTTACCATGGCCACGGCAGCCCCTGAGGGCGGCTGGACAAGCACCCAGTGCATTAGGAGAAACAAAGAAAGGAAGGCACAGAGAGGCCTGGGAAATACTCACTGTATGCTGCTGCCTAGAATGGGGGTTTTGCTTGAATCAAGTGCAGATCCCCCCCCCCCTTAATTTAGCATGTAATTGGATGCAGTCTGGGGTGGGAAACGTTGCTGAAGGGAAGGGAGAGGGATGAAGAAGTGTATACCCCATGCTGCTTTTTCATTAGGAATGTGCAGCCAAAATACGTGTGTTTGTGTGTGTGTCTCTCTCTGTCTCTCTCTGTGTGTGTTTGCACATGCACTACGTAGGATCTGCTGCCTGAATTTAGAGAATCCCTCTGAGTATTTAGAGGGGTCCCACTGATAGGGCTATAGAAGAATAAAGCCAGGTCCTGGTAAAACTATCAAAGAGATCCCTCATTTGTGAAAATAAGGGTGAGAGGCAATGGACCCGATGATTTGTAAGGCCCCTCTCAGCTTTGACATACCTGCCCTCGGAGTCAGGAAGACCTGGGTTTGACTAGCTGTGGGACCCTAGGCAAATCACTTCACCTCTGTAGGGCCTCAGTTTCCTCATCTCTAAAATGGGAATAATAACAGCACTTACCCCATGGGATTCATTTTGAGATTCACATGAAATAACGTACGGAAAGAGCTGTGCAAACCCAAAGTGGCCGGTGGTAATGGTGTATTCTAAGCTCCCTTCCAGCTGTAACATACCATATTCTATTCTTCTTAAGGTCCCTTCCAGCTCTCACAATCTCTGCACCAGGGTCCGCCCCTGCCTTCCAGCTTCAAGGCCAAGGCCCACACCAGGCCCCATTCTCTTTCCTCTGAGGGCATTGGAGAGGAGGGAAGGGAGCGGGAGCTGGAGAGGAGGCAGATGGACAGAGCTACAGGAGCTGCCTTCATGTTTTGCAGGTGGAGGAGGACCATGGAGGGTGACTGCCTGAGCTGCATGAAGTATCTGATGTTTGTTTTCAATTTCTTCATATTTGTAAGTATTCCAGGAATCCTCCCCTCTATCGGTTTCCCTCTGTCTCTGCCAGGCTTTCAAAACAAGTGATTCTCTTAAAATATTCATGTTTGGAGAAGTTGGGCTTCTTTTATTCCCCAGTGGTGGGAGCCAGTGGGGCCAAGGACCAAGGGACTTCCATGCTGGAATCAGAGAATAGGATCATAGAAGAGGCCCCCGAATTCATCTAGTCCAACCCCTCCATTTTACAAGTGAGGAAACTGAGGCCCAAGGAAGTAATGAAATTTGCCCAAAGTCACACAGATATGCTTGGTCACACAAGCAGTCTTGGTTAAATCATCTCACTTCCCTGGACCTCAGGTTCCACATCTATAAAATGAGAGTTAGACCAGACCAGTACGGTCTCTTCCAAATCTGTGATTCTCTCATTCTAAGCAGCAGAGTTGGGATTCAACCTACTTCTTCCTTATCTAAGAACTAGGCTGGCAGACAACAAATAGTTAGAGATCCTCAAGCCCTCAGGTCCTTCAGGACCATTCCCAAGGAGAAAACCCTCACTGAGAAAAGGGGCAGTCCCTAAGGGAGCAATAGGCAGCAGTTACCGTATTCTAGTGCAAAAAACATTCAAGAGAACAAAGATCTGAGTTCTAGCTGCGTACCCTGGTGACAGCCTTCCCCTTGCCTTGCCTTCCTTCCCCTTCCCTTCTCTTCTCTTCTTTTCATTCCCTTCTCTTCTCTTCTTTTCATTCTCTTCTCTTCTCTTCTTTTCATTCTCTTCTCTTCTCTTCTCTTCTCTTCTCTTCTCTTCTCTTCTCTTCTCCTCTCCTCTCTTCTCCTCTCTTTTCCTCTATTCTCTTCTCTGCTCTTCTCTTCTATTCTATTCTCTTCCCTTCCCCTCCCTTCCCTTCCCCTCCCTTGTTTTCCCTTCCCTTGCCTTCCCTTCCCCTTGTCTTCTTTTTCTTCATTTTCTTCATTTGTACTATATAGTGGGAGAAGATGATAGGAAAATGAAGATAACCATTTAAAATGCAAATCATCATAATCATTTTCTTCTCCATCTCATCTATCCTTTCTCCCTTCCTCCTCCCTTCCTCCTCCATCTCTCCCTTCTCCCATCACTCCCTACTTTGTTTTTCACTTGCCTCTCTACATGTCACATCCACTTCCCCCTCCCTTCCCCAATAGAATATAAGTTCTTTGAGAACAGAGACTATGTCATTTTATCTTTGTGTTTTTGATATATCACAGTGACTTACACAAAGTAGATATTTTGCCAATAACGAATTGAATTGAAAAAGACAAGGAAGCATCTGTGGCTCAATGAATAGAGAGTTGACCTCAGTTAGAAATATCATTCTATTCAGTCATGCCCAACTCTTCCCCACACCATATGGGGTTTTCTTGGCAAATACACTGGAGATGTTTGTCATTTCCTTCTCCAGCTCATTTTACAGATAAGGAAACTGAGGCAAACAGTGTGAAGTCACTTGCCTGTGGTCACTGAGCTAGTAAGTGTCTGAGGCTAGATTTGAACTCAGGTTCTCCTGACTCCAAGCCTGGCACTCTCTCCACTGTGCCACCTAGATGCCCTCAGTTAGAAATATCTGGGTTCAAGTCCTGCCTCTAACAGATACTTGCTGTGTGATTCTAGCCAAGTCTCCACTTCTGGATGCCCCCAGGAAACTCTGGGATTCTTAGATGTAGAACAGGTGCCCATCTGCATGGGTGGTTTCCCAAGACAGTTAAATCATAGTTGTCTCCCACTCTCTTAAAAGAAGAGAGCAACAGTCCAACTCTCCCTAGTAGGATCGTATGATAATGGAGACTTACAGTCATCACAGTGGAAGGAAGATGCCAGGCCATTTAAAGGAGAACAGGGTTCCACCCTGTGGGGCTGAAGGAAGAGATCACAGCTCACAGTTCACAGCTTGCATTTCAAGGGTAGGTGCTTTATTTAAGGTAGGTGTTAAAAGCCCCGGATTATGGCAGCTATTTAAAAAAGAAGAAGAAAGAAAAGAAAGTAGCAGAGAACACCTTGGGGAAATAGATTCATGGTGCAAATTGAATTTCTGCCTAATAAACCATGTTCTTAATTTATCTGCTGCTCAGGATGTGGGCCTCTGTTGCTAACTAACCCATCTGGCTCCCCAGCAGGAAAGCATGGTCCTAGGAGTCATGAGCAGAATGTTTAAACTTTGCATCCTTTTCTTTCCCCCACTCCTTTTCTACCTCTATCCCTTCCCTACTCCTTTCTCCTCTCTGATGGGCCCTGGAGCAGCTGGGGGGTGCCTGCCTGCTGGGCGTCGGGATCTGGGTCATGGTGGACCCCACTGGGTTTCGAGAGATTGTGGCCGCTAACCCCCTCCTCTTCACGGGCACCTACATCTTGCTGGCCATGGGGGCCCTGCTTTTCCTACTCGGTTTCCTAGGCTGCTGTGGAGCCATCCGGGAAAACAAGTGTTTGCTGCTCTTCGTAAGTACAAGCCCCTCAGACATCCACCCCCCTTGCCCATCCCCAGATCCTCCTTTCCACATCCAGGTTCTTGTGAGCCAAAAGGAAGTCATAGTGTAGTGGGAAGCTCCCTGGACTTGAAGTCAGAGACCCAGTGTTTGCCCCTCACTTACTAGGTGACTGAGGAAGTGGCTTTACCACTCATTCGTAGAGGTTGGTTTGCCATTGATGCCTCTGGGCTCCATGGAAGATGCAAGGAGGAGTCTGAGCTCTACCTTCCCCTTCCGTCCCTCACCAAGCTGTGTGCCATTGGCTTCCAAGTCTGGGGTTTGAAGATGAAACAGACTTTGATCAATGTCCTGCCTTTGTCACACCAGCTGTGTGACCTTGGCCAATTGTGGGACCTCTCAGTGATGCGAACACTTCTAAGACTCTGAATTTCAGAAAAGAGGATGATTTCTATTAGGAGAGAGCATTCTCCACTAGAAGCTCCTTATGCTGGAAATCACAGACCTGTAAAGAATAATAAATCACATTCATGTAATACTCTCTTTCTCCATACATGTAATATGTTTGTAAAGATATGATGTGCTATTATATCATTTGAGCCCCACCAAAGTTTATAAGGTATTATTAACCCTATTTTTTGTTGTTGTACTGTCAGTTAGTTGTGTCTGACTCTTCCTGACCCCATTTGGGGTTTTCTTGGCAAAGATGCTGGAGTGGTTTGCCATTTCCTTCTCTAGCTCATTTTACAGATGAGGAACTGAGGCAAACAGGGTGAAGTGACTTGCCCAGGGTCACACAGCTAGTAAGTGTCTGAGGCCAGATTTAAACTCAGGTCCTCCTGACTCCAGGGCTGTCATTCTATCCACTTCACTGCCTAGGTGCCCAAGTCCTGTTTTACATATGAGAAAACTGAGACCCAGAAAGGGAAAATAGTTTGTCCAGGGCCGCATAGCTGTGCCTGAGCTAGGACTCAACTCGGGTCTTAGAGCTATTTTTCCCATCAGCTGTGAAATTTTCCCTGGACCTTCTTCCACTCTCTTTCCTTATCTTTTTTTGTAGCTAATTGCCCACATTTGTAAGAGAGCTGATAGGGCCCATGAATATGGCCTCTAGCCAACGGCACTGAGCCAAGCTAACTAACTGGGCCAGCTGGAGCTCAGGGCTGCAAACTTGGCCTGGGAGTCAGAGAACCTGATGTCTGCTCTGAGTTCCACCACTATGTGCCAGTGTTTCTTAGGGCAAGTCCCATCTCCCTTTGCATCTCTGCTGCTTTGTCTGTAAAATGAAGGGGTTGGATAAAGGTCCCTTCTAGCTCTTTAAAAAACCCCTCTACCAATGCAGGTGGGCACCTGCTCTGCAATTTCTAGGCTTAGAGTTACCTAGAACATTGAGAAGTCATGTGACTTGTCCAGGGTCACAGTGCCCTGTATGTGTCAGAAGTAGGGTGTGAACCCAGATCTCCTTGGCTCAAAGGCTAGCTCTCTATGGGAACTCAAACCCTTCATTTTTTAGCTATTCAACTATTGAAATATTCCAACCATATTCCAACTTCCAAGCATTCTTTCTACTATATTACACCAATTCATTGATCAACAAGGACAATGCAATAAAAAAAAACTGAGCTGTAGGACTTGGAAACTGAAGAAATTTGGGGCGAGAGAGTCTGTAATGAGGGCTCCTGATTTTGATCAGGTGCCACCTTTCCAGCCCTGGAGGCACCATTCCATGCTTCATGAAGCATTGCATTGTTGCATGTTGTTCTTGGCCTTGGTCTTTGAGCCAGTGGGGAAGAGAGAGTCGTTCTAGAGGGCTAAGAGCTCATAAAACCTCTCTTGGCCAATGTCCTTCGAGCATTTGCCAACATCCAAGCGGAGTGAACCTAGAACAATACAGGGCATGCCCCACCCATGCTGTGTGAAATTGATAGATCAGTGATACATCAAAACAGAATTGAGGGTGCCGGGGAGCCTCTGAGGAGATGCAGTCAATGTCAGCAGAGGAGAAAGCTCGTGACGATTCCTCTCTAGGTCCCAACCAAAGAGCAACACCAATATTTTGGAAGAAGGAAGAGGTCTGGGCTAGTTTAAGTGAGATACAAAGCATAATTACTGGATAATGGTATACTCAAAAAGGTCAGGAAATAACTCTTCTTTCCTTCTGTCCAGCTAACTCTGATCTGGGGCATAGGTAGCCCTGAATCACAAAGTCAGTGTGTATAGAGGCAGGACCTGAACCCAGGTTATCCTGGCTCTAAGGTCACTAGGACATACTTGGTTAAAGATACCAGAATCATAGAATGACAGAACTTTAGAGCTGTAGGGACCTCAGGGTTCATCTCTCCAGACCCCCTTATTTTACAGATGAGGAAACTGAGTCCCAGAGAAGAGTGGTGACTTGTCCAAGGTCATCCAGCTAGTTAGTTTGGAACCTAGAACCCAGGTCCCCTAACTTCCGGTCTTTCTACTATACCACATTGCCTCTTGGTCATGGGTGAAAAAACTAAGCAGTTTACCAAGATCAGTGGGATAAGCAATGTCTAAAAATCTCACCTGATGCATCTACCCCCAGTCCAGAATAATAATAATAATAATAATGATAATGAAAATAGCTCATGTTTACATAATGTTGTAAGGTATTCAAAGTGCTTAACAAAGGATCAGAGGCTTAGATTGGAAAGAAAGCTCGGAGGTTTTCTAGTACAAGTCCTATATTTTATAGAAGAGGAAACTAAGGTCAAGAAAAGTGGAGTGATAACCACAGGCATGCAAATGGCAAGTGGCAGAGCCTGGATTTGAACTCAGTACTAAATCCAGCAAACTTTCCCATACTACTGCTCATGCATTATCTCATTTGATCCTCAAAAATCCTGTGAAAGAGGTCCTATTCGTACCCTTATTTTACGGTTAAGGAAGTTGAGGAGGAGAAAAACTAAATCACATCTCCAAGGTCACACAACTGTCTGAGGTAGCACTTGAACCCAAGTCTTCCTGACTCCATGTGTAGGGCTCTATCCACCTTTCTAAGGACATCAGGGTACAGGTGTAACATATGTTAATCCAACTGTTGAGAGTACTAAGAACAGCTGGACTTGAACAGCATAGCAGCTGTTAGACCTCACAGTTGGGTTCTTGGGGTCTAGACACCCTATGGTCAGACCGGACCAAAGCTCTTTGGTCAACTAGAAGTGATTATTCCGGACCCCAGACCAAAGTGACATCAACCTGAAACCTTCAAGGAGCCACAGTGTACAACCAGGACCCAGTGACTTATGCCATCCATGTGTCACAGCCAAAGACCTAGTGAGACTCACGGACTTTGGGAAGGCATAAATTGGTATTTTGAGTCTTTCTCTTCTGTTTCTTGAAGGAAGGCCTTTAGCTCTGAGTGTGGCTATCAGAAATCTGTCCTAAACACATCTGAATTTTTACACTTAACCTTGTCTTAAAATGTTGCCTTGCTCCAATAAGGGCATGAGCTTTTTTAAATAGTCACTTCTAAGGCACTTTATTCCTAATGCAGCTTGTATCCAAAGTGAAGGGAGGAAAAACTGCTGGTTGCTAGGGGCAAGCTCAGTGTCTTAGGGGAGTCATAGTATTCCAGTGTAAGGCAAACATACCTGATGGGAGGGGGCAGGAGGAAGATCTCAAAAGACAAAGAGAAAATTGACTGAGAAGCCCTTTAATTGGGGAGAAAAGCTAGCAGGCAAGAGCACTCAACCTCTTAACCCCTCTTGTTGGAGAAATGTCTGCTTCTGACTCTGGCTGCTTCTGAAGCAATAGCTTACAGAATATCATGCCCAGAAGGGGACCTGAAAAATCATCTCTACGATATCTCTGATGAGTGATCGTTCAGCTTCCAAGGGGAGATACCTAACAGTGCAGGGGAGGGGGAGAGAGAAATGAGTCCACTATCTCCCAAGGCAAACCATTCAACTTGGGGATATTTCTAATTGTCAGGAAGCTGTCCATGTAAACTCTTCTTCCTTTTCTAAATGTTTATTAGCCATCCTTTCACAATATACCATGGAAGTTTACATGGATTCCAAGTCAAGTCTACAGTTCTATAATGTACACTTTTTTTTTCTGGAAAATCAAGATATTTGCCCTTCTCTAGTCTTATAGCACCTCTCCAATTCTCAGCAGTCCTTCAAAGATCGCTAATATTAGATCATTAATCACACCTACCATTTCTGTCGGAGTGCTAGAACGGAGCTCCTCAGAGCTTGGTGGCTTGAACTCCTAATAATTTAAAGGCATCCTAAAGTAGAATGGGGTATCTAGGTGGCAGTGGGTTCCCCCTAAACTGAGGTGGCGGTTAGGTGTTTTCTTATCATCTCCTTAATTTATTCTGGATTTCAACTTCCATTGGTCATTTTTGGTCTGTCTCTGCTGATCCAAAGTCCATATGGTAGAGTGCAATGAGGGCTTGAAGTCAGAGGACATGGGTTTGCACAATCCTGACTCTGCCAGTTTTGTGACCTTGGGTAAAACATATAACATTTCTGGGCCTCAGTTTTCTCACCTGTAAAGTCAGATGAGGTTAGACTGAAGGATTTCTGAGGTTCCTTCCATCTGTATGTATTAGCCAAGCAGTCAGCCCACATTTATTAGGTGCCCATTATGTGCCAGGTGCTGTACCAAGCAGTGGGGTGTACCCTCAAGGAGCTCACTTCCTAAGGGATAATGTGCAAACAACAATACTCGTACTACAGACTAGGCAGGAGTCCCTGAAAAGGGAAGGGCTAAAACGAAGGGGAGAGGCCAAGGCTTCTTGCGGAAGGTGGGAGTTTCTCAGCCATGAGGGGAACCAGAAGGCAAAGGGGAAGAGGGGGGGCATTCTAGGCCTGGGGAACAGCCTGTGAAAAAGTGCTAAGGTGGGGTCATTCAGCATTGCCCTGGCGCTCCCTTGCTCATCACCGGCCAGGCAGCTCACCTGCCTTTTTTTCTCGTCTTTCTAGTTTTTCCTGTTCATCTTGTTAATATTCCTGGCGGAGCTCTCAGCAGCCATCCTGGCCTTCATCTTCAGAGAAAATGTAAGTACTGTGCAGGGCCCCTAATGTGAATGTGTCCATCCACTCCCCCAGGGGCCAAGTGGCCACCCTCTGCTTCTTCCTTCCCCACAAACATTGACTGACCATGCAGGGCATCATGGAGTAATGGACCAGAGATTTAGGAGACTTGGTTTTGAATCTGCTCTGTGTCTTATTAGCTGTTTGACCTTTGGCAAGTTACTTAGCCTGTCTGATCCTCAACCTCCTCCTCTGTAAGATGGAAATAATAACTCACATTCATATAGCTCCTTAGAGTTTATAAAGCGCTTTCTACATATGATCGCATTTGGGCTTCATAACTGCTCTGGGGGTTAGCTATTTCTTGAAGTGCTTCTCAGAGGAGAAGATGCTGCAGATTTTGTGGAAATCACACCTGAAATCTTGTGTGTGTGTGTGTGTGTGTGTGTGTGTGTGTGTGTGTGTAAGAGAGAGACACAGAGAGAGATTGAGAATTTCCCTCTACTCCCTTCAGTATTGGGCCAGGGTTCCTTGTGACAAAGAACACTACTATGGCTTCAGCCAAAAAGAAGTTTGAGAACCCATACTATAATACTAATACCTTTATTATAGTTATTATTATCCCCATTATACAGATAAGGAAAATTAAACTCAGGTTAAGTGACTTGCCCGCTTAGTGTCAAAGGCAGGATTTGAACCCGAGCCTTCCTATTTCAGTCCAGCATTTTAGCCACTACATCTGTGAACTATTTACCTCACTGGATTGTTATGAGGGAAAAAGTTTTGTAGACCTTAAAGTTCTCTAGAAATGTGAGGCTTTTATTATAGCAATGAAATAAAAGATCCATTACAGTTTTTTTTTTCCTCCTTTGGTCAAGACTTATGATTTCATTAGTGTAAGAAATTCCCTATAAGGGAACCCCCTTTCCTCTCCTGATGAAGAGCAACAGCTGTTCCATGACTTTTAGTCTCCAGAGCCGCCTGGAGCACTGACAACTTGTCATTTGCCCAGGGTCACCCAGACAGCTGTGTCAGAGATGGAACAGGAACGCAGATCCTCCTGATTCCGAGGCCAGCTTTCTGTCCACTATACCAGGCTGCTCTCATCTCATATCTGCTTCATCTAAAAGCAGATTCTGAAAAAAAATAAAAATAAAATAAAAGCAGATTCTGAAGAGTTAGGGCATCCTAGGAGACAGACCAAAAAAAATAAACAAATAAAGCCCCAGGCAGAGTGGGAAGATCCCCCTCCTCTCTCCTCCCTCCTCCCTCTTCCCTCCTCCCTCCTCCCGCATTGAAACATTGGAAGTCTATGAAGGCTGAGGAGGCTGCATCTGAATGACTCAGATATCAGATTCTTGTCAGAGGAGTGAGTGGCCTGGGTGGCTTCCCTGTGTCCCCATCTGACAGCCTTGGATAGCCATCTAGTGGACAGTGAGGGGACCAGGAACGAAAGCTAAGGCGCCCTTTCTCCTGTGCCTAATGCTTGAGTGAATGAAAACCCAGGAATACAGTGCCACTTAAAACCAGGGCATTGCTGCGCTAAAGGCTGGTTTGGATACTGAAGGGGATGGGGCCAAGAGTCTTGTCCCTGAGACTGACCCTCTCCCAGTTCTAGATGGAGCAGCCGTGCTCAGACAGTGCCACCTGCTGGCTACTTCAGAGACTAGCGCCAGCATTAGACCCTAGGTAGAGAGGGTGAAGTGAGGATTCCCAAGGAGAGCCAGGCTGGAAAAAAGGTGGGGGACATTAGAAATGAGCTAGAAGAGGGTTTTTTTGTGGCATAGGCCCCCTTGGCAGTTTGTTGAAAACCTATGGATTCCTGCTCAGACTAATTTTTTAATGTATAAAATAAAATACATAGGATTACAGAGGGAAAAAAAATTATTTTGAAATATTTATAACATGTTTTTCAAAAGTTCACAGAACCCAAATTAAGAACCCTTAGACTAGAAAAAAGTCTGGGAGCTCCGAAGCTTTGCCCACGGCTCTGGCTTTCTGTCCTGAGTGCTTTTCAATACAGTATGCCTTCACAATCAAGGGATCAAGAGTTAAATTCTGACACTTCCTGCCTGAGTAACCTTGGACAAGGCACCTAGCCTCCTTGGGCCTCAGTTTCCTCACCTGTACAATGAGGGTGATTGGACTAGATGAGTCCTGTGGTCCCTTCCAAACATTTCTTCCAATCTATTATTGTGGGAAGAGTCCTGGGCTTGCAGGCAGGAAGCTTATCCAAACCCTGTCTCATATTCTTTTTTTATCGTAGGCATTTATGTATGTATGTATATATATATATATATATATATATATTTATTTATTATTATTATTAGGATCTGGAACTTTGTAAAGAAGCCCCAGTGAGGAAACTTTCCCCACTGTAGATTCGCAGCTCCTCTCTGACTTATAGCCTTAGAGACACTTGGGAATGCTAAGAGGTTAAGGGATCAATCTGTGACCACTCAAGCAATGAGCTCCAGGGGCAGGATTCGAACTCTCATCTTCCTAACTGCACAGCTGGCCCTCTATCCACCACATCCCGTTAGCTTTCTTCTATCACCATGGTCATTACAAGCAATGGTTGCTCACGTTTCTATAGCATTTTAAGAATCCACCAAATTTCAGATATGGAAGGACCTGGGGAGACATCCAGTCCTTAGGACAGTGCCTGGCACATAGTAAGCCCTTTAAAAATGTTTCCTTCCTTCCTCTCCAGTCCTGTAACTGAACAGGAATCAACTTTTCAACAGCCATGAAAAGTGATCACACAGTCTCCCCTCCAAGTCCTTAATCACGGGGGAGCCCACTCTATTTTGGGATGACTCTAAAATACTAGGAGGTTTTTTCCTGCTATTGAGAGAGACAAGATGTTATAGGAGACAGTGAACCATCCTCGGAACCAGGAAGCCCCAGGTTCAAGCCCTGCCTCTGACATAGAATGACATTGTTACTGGGCAGATCACAACCTCGAAATGTTCTGGGCACCTCCCTATAGCTAGAGGCCACAAAGAAGGTGACAGCCCATGTTGGTGGAGGGAGTTCCTCCATATGGGAGTTCCCTATATCAATTACATCCAGGCCTTCTCCCTTTTTTTGTGTTGAACCACAACCCCGGCTCTGTGATTTTCATTTCTGGAGGTTGCTCCTGCTTCTTTTCCCTGAAGCCAAGAAGAATAGGTCTGATCCCTCTTCCATGTGATAAACTTCAAATGATTGATAGATTATCTCACATGTACCAGACACTGGGGAAACAAATGCAAGGGGAAGCCAACACCTAACCATCAAGGGATCTTTGCTCCATGGTACCCAAAATCTAGGACAAAGCGACAGGTTCTAGGGTTTATACTCATTGGTATAAACAAGCTAACACACACATGTACACTTTGGAAGACATTCACAAACACTTGTGTGCATGTGGATGGAAGGAAAGGAGGAAGGAAGGAGAGATAGAAGAAGAAATGGAAGAATGGAAAGAAGAAAGGAAGGAAAGGGAGGGAAGGAAGGAGGGAAAGGGAAGGAGGGAGAGATGGAAAGATGGAAGGAAGGAAGGGAAAGAGGGAGGGAAAGAAAGAGGGAAGGAAGGAGAGATGGAAGGAGAGATGAAAAGATGGAAGAGAGGAAGGAAGGAGAGATTGAAAGATAGAAGGAAGGAAGGGAGGGAGGGGAAAAAGTAAGGAAGGAAAGAAGGAAGGAAGTCAGGAAGGAAGGAAGGAAGTCAGGAAGGAAGGAAGGAAGGAAGGAGACTCATTCTGAGCTCACAGACTTACTGTCCCTAACCTAGTCTATCCTTAAGGTCTTTCTGGCTCCATAACCCCCACCAAAGCTTGTGTTCCCCCAGCCAAGTCTCCAGTCCCCCAGGGTCACCCCGACATCACGATGAGGCATCAGAGATGAACACTTATAGAGAAAGGCACCAGCTTTCCATGTTAAGTATGTTAGCGAGGGAAGCACAGACCACGTGTAGACAATGTGTCCTGTGAGATCCCAGAAAAAGTGTGGTCCCCAGCTCTTCTGCAGCCTGGTTTCTTTCAGACCTGGGGGCCCTGGTGATGTGCAGGATTCTCTGCAGGAGAGCAACCACGATGTCTATCCCCTTATCAGGCAGGAAGTCCTCTGAGGGTTTTATCCCCCAGGGCCTATATAGTGCTATGCACACAGTGGGAACTCAGTGAATGCTGGCTTAGTGATTGCTTTATTGATGAAAGCCTATGCCCAAGTCTATACACACCCTAGATAAACTTCCCCAACCATATAGGGAGGATAGAGCCAGGTGCCAGATTTGTACCCAATGAATGATGCACTGGCCCTGGAGTCAGAGGACCTGCTTTCAAATCACACTTTTGATATTTACTGGTTATATGACCTTGGGCCAGTCATTTAACCTCCATAGACCTCAGTTTCCTTATCTATAAAATAAGAAAGTTGTACTACATAGCCTTTTAAATCCCTTCCATATTTAAAGCAATGATCTTATGAGGCCTGGAGTGGCAACACCCAAAATTTTCATCTTAGAAAGAGACCCAAGAAGCCTTACCTCAGATTCTCTTGACTAGTAGAATATAAATTTCTTAAGAGCAGAAACTCCTTTGTTTTCATATCCCCAGTGCCTAGTATAGTGACTGGCAAACAGTAGGGGCTTAATGATGCAGATCAGATTATTGAATTGAATCGGTCCTATTCCCCAGAAGAGCAGAAATTTCCTGCCTTAGCGTCTACCTGTGCTTGGAGATCGAGAGAGGTAGGGAGAGATTATCTCTGAGGCACAGTGAGGACTTTGGGTGTGGGTTTGGGGATCTTTATGTCCTGTCCTCCTCCTTCTATTTCTCAGCTAACAAGAGAGTTCTTCACCAAGGAGCTGACCAAGCATTATCAGGGAAGCAACGAGACAGACGTCTTCTCCGCTACCTGGAACTCAGTCATGATCACGGTGAGTCTCCTAGGAAGGTGTGGCTACATCCGCGGTAGAGTGGAGTAATGTGGCACCTCACTGGATTTCTCTGGGCATCTGCTACTCCTAATAAGGTTCTGAGAAGTGTCCTTCAAGCTGATGGTATCATAATCAAATATAAATGGATCCCTGGATGCTGAATATTGACTTAGAAAACCACAAACCAACATTACCTATGTTGTATTCTATTTTGATTTTGTTAAGCATTTCCCAATCACATTTCAATCTGGGCGGCAGTTTACTGTGCTTGTGACCAATGAGTCTGATACCTCTGCCCTAAACCATGGATTCTCCTTCCTAGTTCTTTCCTCACAAGCTCCAATTTCATTTTTTTATCTCCTGTTTTAACTCTTTCTTCATTTCTATTAGTTGGCACTCCATCAATTTTTGGTGTTTTTGTGGTTGATTCCTTCTTTTTTTTTTATCTTATTAGTAAAATTTTTTTTGTTTTCAACATTTACTTCCACAAGATTTTGAGTTCCAAATTTTCACCCCATCTCACCCCTCCCCCCGCCCCAAGATGGCGTGCATTCTAAATACCCCCTCCCCTAGTCTGCCTTCCCTTTTATCTCTCCCCCCCTTCTCTTATCCCCTTCCCCTTCAATTTTCCTGTAGGGCAGGATGGATTTCTGTACCCCATTTCCTGTATTTCTTATTTCCCAGTTGCGTGTGAAAACATTTTTTTTAAAACATGTTTTTAAAACTTTGGATTCCAAATTTTCTCCCTTCCTCCCTCCCCACCCACCCTCATTGAAAAGGCAAACAATTCAATATAGGTTATACATGTGCAGTTATGCAAAACACTTCCATAGTAGACAGGCCGTGAAAAGCTAACTCTATTTCCCTTAATCCTATCCTGCCCTCCCCCATTTGTTCTATTCTTTCTTTTGACCCTGTCCCTCCTCAGAAGTATTTGCTTCTGATTATTCCCTTTCCCAATCTGCCCTCCTCTCTATCATTCCCCTATTGTCTTGTCCCCTTCCCCCCCCCCCCATTTTCCTGTAGGGTAAGACAGATTTCCACACCCAATTGAGTGTGTATGTTATTCCCTCCTTAAGTCAAATCCTATGAGAATAAGATTCACTCATTCCCTCTCACCTTCCCCCTTTTCCCCTCCATTGTAAGAGCCTTTTCTTTTCTGGTTTTTTTTTTGTAGGATAATTTACCCCATTCTACCTCTCCCTTTCTCCTTCTCCTAATATAATCTCTCTCACCCCTTAATTTTATTCTCCAGATATGACCCCTTCATTTTCAACTTACCCTGTGCCCTCTATCTATCTGTACCTATATATATGTACATATAATTTTTCCCCTCCAACTACCCTAATACTGACAAAGGTCTCATGAGTTACAAATATCATCTTTCCATACAGGAATGTAAACAGTTCAACCTTAGTAAGTCTCTTAAGATTTTCTCTTTCCTGTTTATCTCTTCATGTTCCACTCGAGTCTTATATTTGAAAATCAAACTTTCTATTCAACTCTGGTCTTTTCATCAAGAATGCTTGAAAGTCCTCTATTTCACTGAATGACCATTTTTTCCCCTACAGGATTATACTCAGTTTTGCTGGGTAGGTGATTCTTGGTTATAATCCTATCTCCTTTGCTCTCCGGAATGTTATATTCCATGCCCTGTGGTCCCTTAATGTAGAAGCTGCTAAATCTTGTGTTATCCTGATTGTGTTTCCACAATACTTGAATTGTTTCTTTCTGGCTGCTTGTAATATTTTCTCCTTGACCTGGGAACTCTGGAATTTGGCTACAATATTCCTAGGAGTTTTCCTTTGGGGATCTCTTTCAGGAGAGATCGGTGGATTCTTTCAATTTCTATTTTTGCCCTCTGGTTCTAAAATATCAGGGCAGTTTTCCTGGATAATTTCTTGAAAGATGATGTCTAGGCTCTTTTTTTGATCATAGCTTTCAGATAGTCCAATAATTTTTAAATTCTCTCTCCTGGATCTATTTTCCAGGTCAGTTGTTTTTCCAATGAGATATTTCACATTGTTTTCTAATTTTTCATTCTTTTGGATTTGTTTTACAGTGTCCTGATTTCTCATAAAGTCACTAGCTTCCAATTGCTCTATTCTAATTTTTAAGGAAGTATTTTCTTCAGTAATCCTTTGGACTTCCTTTTCCATTTGGCCAATTTTGCTTTTTAGGGCATTCTTCTCCTCATTAGCTTTTTGGACCTCTTTTGCCATTTGGGTTAGGCTTTTTTTAAGGTGTCATTTTCTTCAGTATTTTTTTTGGGTCTCCTTTAGCAAGCTGTTGAGTTGTTTTTCATGATTTTCTTGCATCACTCTCAGTTTTCCTCTACTTCTCTTACTTGCTTCTCAAAATCCCTTTTGAGCTCTTCCAGGGCCTGGGACTGATTCATATTTTTCTTGGAGGTTTTAGATGTAGGAGCTTTGGCTTTGTTGTCTTCTTCTGGTTGTGTGTTTTGATCTTCTTTGTCACCAAAGTAAGATAATATAGTCTGACTCTTTTTGCACTGCTTACTCATGATCCCAGCCAATTACTTGAGTTTTAAACTCTTTGTTAAGGTAAAAGTCTGCTTCCAATGTGAAGAGTGTATTGTCCCAAGCTTCGGGGTTTGTACAGCTGTTTTCAGAGGTACTTCTAGGGACCTGTAAATTTTCAGTTCTTCCAAGGTGGTATGATAAGGGGCGAGGTGTTTCCTCTCCACAGCCACAGCAAGCTCCACTGCACCAGCGTTCCTTCTAGCCCCAGGACCGCCCTTCAGAACTGTGACCCAGATCCAAGCACTGGCAAAGCAAGGGATTCCTGCCTCAGCACTGGCAAAAAGATCCTTGTAATCCCCCTCTGATCAGCCTCTCGATTCCCCCTCAGTCTGTGGGCTGGAAGCTTAGGAAACAGTCACTGCCCTGAGGTCACACTCGGGACTTTTGGCTGAGACCTAGCTCCTCTCTCACCGCAGTCACAGACTTTTCCCACTGACCTTCCATGTTGTCTTTGGCGTTCCTGGGTTGAGAAGTCTAGAAACCACCACAGCTGCCCACGATTCAGTCCTCTGAGACTTGCTCCAGGGTCGCTGCGGCCTGCGCGCCCACGCTGCACTGCACTCCTCTCCCCGCCTGGCGCGATATACCTTTCTAATCAACCATCCAGGCTGTCTTTGGCTGGAAATTTGTTTCACTCTATCTTTTTGTGGGTTCTGCTGCTTTAGAATTTGTTTAGAGCCATTTTTTTAGGTATTTGGAGAGCTTTGGGAGAGAGCTCAAGACAGTCACTGCTTTCCCTCCGCCATCTTGGCTCAGCCTCAATTCCTTCTTTTTTTGTGTTCTCCTTCTGATTAGTATAGAATTATTTCCATCTCTTGGAGTCTTCTCTTGGGGTCTTTTTAATCCATAATATGTATTTGTTTTATTCATCTTCTGTTTCATCATTTCCCCAGTCTCTTCCCTTGGGATGATTGTTCTCAGCTCACCCTCCCCATAGCCACCACCTGTACTGTTTCTTCCCAACTTCTACAGATTCTGTAGTTGCTCAAATTATTGTCACTTTGCCCCCTCCATGTGGATCCTGGGGTGGGGATGGAGGACCAGGAGTATTCACAGTACTGTAGAAAGATAAGAGTTCTGAGATTTGGAGTCAGAAATGGAAACACCACCTCTGCTCCTTACTTGCTGAGTGATTTTAAGCAAGTGGCTAAGCCTTAGTTTTCTTATCTGGAGATATGGAGCTTGGAGGAGATGGTCACTGGGGGCCCTCCCAGCTCCAAATCCTCCCATGATGAGCATTTGCTATCACTTGTTGACTTAGAAGGACCAAAAGGACCCTATCTCTACAGCCCCTAGATATGAACAGAAAGAATTGTGGGGATCCAATTGGCACAGAAGGCTCCAACCTTCTCCTCCAGCCAAGAACTAAATTCTTTTGACTTTCTCTTCTCTTATCTTGTATTATAATCAACTTAAGAAACCAAATTCATTTCATGTCTTTATCAGCTAAGTGGCACAATGGATAGAGTGTTGGTACCCAGAGTCAAGAAGACCAGAGTTCAGATCTGACCTCAGATACTGACTAGTTGTGTGAGCTTAGACAAGTCACTTACTCTATGTCTCAATTTCCGCATCTGTAAAATGGGGTTAATAATATCACCTAGCTCCCAGGGTTATGGTGAGAATCAAATGGAATAATATTTGTAAAGAGCTTTGCAAACGTTAAAGCACTATCTAGATTCAAGCTATTATTGTTAGCTGAGCTGGAAAAGACCTTAGAGGTCCTCTAGTATAGTGCCTTCAGTTTACAAAGGAAGAAACTGAGGCCCAGAGAGATTAAGTGATGTGCAACCTGAACAAGATAAGGAATTAAGCTTCTGATCTCAGACTTGTAAGATCATGGGTACTCTCTTGGGATTTGGTGCTTAAGTGGCATCCCTGAGACACACCAATTTTTGTGTTCCAATCTTTCCCTAGACCCTCCAACTCCTTCCCTGCCTTAGAAAAGAAAATTGTGAACTTTAGAGTTGGTTGGATTCTCAGAAATTGTCTCATCTAGCCCCTTCATTTTACAGAGAAGGAAACTGAGGTCCAGAGAAGGAAAAAGACTTACTCAAAGTCACACAGGTAGTAAGTGGCCAAGTCAGAATTCGAACTCAGGTCTTATGACTCCAACCTCTTTCATGAAAGATGACTTATTGCTGTCTCCCCTGAAAGCTGGAAGAACTTGTAGACAGTAGGCATTTAATAAATGCTGTGTGTCTTGGTGTTCCCATTCTTGAGCCTCCACCAAGTAAACTATCTCCATGTCTCTGTGTGTGTATACCTGTATGTGTTTAGTTTGGTTGCTGTGGGGTCAATGGACCCGAAGACTTTAAGGCTGCCCCAGTTTACCGTTTCCTGAATTTCAATGGAGATGAAGTCCCAGAGGCATGCTGCCGGAGAGAGCCCCAGAACCGGGATGGCGTGCTGGTCAACAGGGAGGAGTGCCTCTTGGGAAGAGATCGCTCCTTAAACAAACAGGTAGAACAGACAGGTTCTCACAACTGGGAAGAATAATGGGAGGGGAGGGCGGAGGGACAGGATGGGGTCTCTTAAACACATGAAGCTAGGAGTATGCAAATGACAAAAAATTTTGAAGCAATGACCAGATGAGACTGTGGAGCTGTTGGACCCATGTAGAAGCTATGCATACAGACATCCAGTGTGCTAAAGAGAGGCTGAGTTGCTTCAGGACCTCCATTTAATAAAAGGCTGGGAGGAGGGAGGTACTGGGGAGTGGAGGTTCAGTGGCTCCCCCTTCCATACTATGCAGGCTGGTGAAATCTATAACAAACATGACCAAACTCATTGGCAGGGTCACATTTTCTCTAAGGGAAATCTAACCTGATTGATCACAGCATCCCAGAATTTCAGAGGTAACTGTAACCTCCAGCTCTGGGAGCCGTCTAGTCTAATCTGGACCTGAAAAAAAGAATAATTTTACCTCCCTACAATCCATACACTGAGATACGGAACAAAGCCTTTGATCTCCAACTTGTAAGATAATAGGGACTTTCCTTGTTCTCCATGGAGTAAATGAAGAGTTCTCCCCAGGGGTAAACATTCTTGCACATAAGAACCAGTGGATTTAAACAACATACTTAAACTTCCAAAGAGTCAGAGTTAGAAGAGGTTTTGTAACACTGTAACAAGAATCCTTTGGACTCCAGTTCTTGAGTCAGGAAGACGTGAGTTTGTGTCCTGTCTCAGAAACTTGCTAGCTGTGTGACTGTAAGCAAGGACAGTTTAATTCTTCTAGCCTCAGTTTACTCATCTGTAAAATGGGGTTAAAAATTACTTCATGGATTTGTTAGGAATGGGGACCAGGTCTTTCGTCATTCCACTGGTTATCGTTGGATCGTGTCCACTTATATTTGAAAAAGAATTCTTTCTTAAAGGAAAGTGGTCATCCAGCCTTTTCTTGAAGACCTTCAGTAAGGAGGAACTTGCTGCCCTGTGGGGAAGCCTGTTCCATTTTGGAATCACTCTAATAGAATATTGGAGCTGTCAGGGACCATGGACCTTGGAACCTGAGAACTGGAAGGAACTGGAGAAGTCATCTAACTTAGCATTTTAAACCCAAGTGGCCCGTGGAGGGATTTCAAGGGATCCATGAACTTTAATGGGGAAAAAATGCATCTTTATTTTCACTAATCTTTAATAAAAGTTAGCATTTTCTCCATTTATTTAAGAGCTTTGCTCTGAAAAGAGTCCACAGACTGCACCAGACTGAAAGGGGCTCATGACACAAGAAGAGGATAAAAATTTACTCCTGCTCAACCTGAACCCTTCCCATTTTACTGATAGGAAACAAAAATCCAGAAGAGGAAGCACCTGCCTGAAGGTTGCATGGGGAGTAATGGCAGTCAGGATTCAAACCCAGGGCTTCTGGTTTCAAAGACAGTGCTGCCTCTACTGTGTTGTGGCTACTTCTTCCCATCCTGCCCAGCCCTTCTTCTGACAGCTGACCCCTCAGGCTCTGGGACAAAATTCCAGTGTATCCGGACCAGGCACTGAGGCTATACCAGCTGTGGATTCCTAAACAAACAAACAAAAACGGGATTTCTGGTCTTTATTTAGAAACCAGGCCTGTGTGTGGTTTTTTTCCCCTCCTCCCCATCCACCCCAGCCTACCTGCCTTGCCCACTTGGGTTTTAATTATTATTATTATTTTTTTCTGTCTGTCTTTGTTGCTTTCTGTCTGTCTCTCTGTGTCTCTCCCTCTCTTCCTCCTCTCTGCCTGTCTCTGTCTCTCCCTCTCTTTCTCCTCTCTCTGTCTCTTTCCCTTTCTCCTCTCCTTCTTTCTGTCTCTCTCTCTCTGTTTGTCCCTGTCACTCTCTTTCTGTTTCTCTCTGTCTCCATCTCTCCCCCTCCCCCCTCCTCCTCTTCTTTTCCTTATTCTCCTCCTCCTTCTTCTTCTTCATCTTCTCTGTCTCTCTCTCTCTGTCTCTGTCTCTCTGTCTCTGTCTCTGTCTCTCTCTCTCTCTCTCTGTCTCTCTCCTTCCTCCTCCTAAGCTGGGGTACCATAGGGAAGCACTTTGCAATCCTTGAAGAGGTCTATAAATGCTAGCAGCTAAAGAAGGACCCTAGAGGTCACTTAGTCCAACTGCTTATTTTATAGTTGAGGAAAACAGATGCCCAGAGAGGAGGAGACTTGATCAAGATCACCCTGATGCTCACTAGACCTGAATCCAGCCCTTTGGACGTCCAAATCTAGGGCTCTTTACATATATGAGCTCTAATATCTCTTCTAACTTTAGATCTTAAGACCCCAAAGAGGAGATGCTGAGCCCTATTCCCCTCCCCCTAACCACAGCCTCCACATTTAACTACAACCAGCACCCCAAAGCAAGTCCAGAAACTACCAATCCCTCTGTTTTCCTTCAAGAAAATAGAGGATTGTTGTTTTTCTTTTTCAGTTACTCTGGGGTTTGGATTGCCAAGGCACTAAGAAGGACCCCACCCAAGACCTCAACCTAACCAGATGTTTTGGAGAAGACTTAGGAGTTGGGGGAGGGGGCAAGCCCAAGAGCCTTGAAGGAAGGACCAAGTTGTGGGTGGAAACTCAGCAGCTGGAGAGCAGCTGGTCTGCCTGCTCCCTACTGCCCAGGGTCACCTGCAGCCAGCTGTGGGCTCACACCCTGCTTAGTCTGGTCTGCACAGACACAAGCCAACATGAGTTGTATTGTTATCTGAATCTAGCCTTCCCTCCCCATTTGAATGTGCCTTGGGTACTCTCTCATGCCACCTCCATGTCCCTTTCAACTGCTGCCTTAGTCAGGGGTCACATCTCACTCAATCAGTCAATTATTAAATGCCTACTATGTTCCAGGCACTGTGCTAAGCCCTGGGGATGCAAAGAAAGGCAAAAGACAGTCTCTGCCCTCAAGGAGCTTACAATCTAATGGAAGAAACAATAGGCAAATAGCTAATACAAATAAACTATATATAGGATAAATTGGGGGGGGGGGAAATCACAGAGGGAAGGCACTAGCATTAAAAGAGATTGGGAAAGGCTTCTTCTAGGAGAACATCTGTGATGTTGGGGGAAGATGGAAAGGCAGCCCTGTGCTTGCCACAAGTAGGAGGGCAGGGCAGTTGACCTATGGAGTACAAAAGCAACAGGTACCACCAGGGTCCCAGAGGAGGGCACCTGTCTCTCCCCTTCCCAAGTGGCCTGTCACCAGCTTCCTTAGAAAAAGCCAGAGCTAGCCCACAGTGCTTCTAGTCTGGCCCTTAGAGTAGAAAAGTGGCTGTCTTGATGGGCAGGGCATTCTCATGAAAAGAACCAGGTAAGTCCTCTTGTGCATCAGCAGTTGGCTTTGGAGTCTGGTTGTTTTCAGCGGTTTCTCCTGTGTGCCTGTGTTTGCTGCCACCCACCTCGTGTTAGTGGGTGTTCCTTCATAGAGTGTTGGGTGGGCTCCCACTCTACTCTGCCCTGATCAGACCATCTGGAGTACTGTGTTCAGTCCTGGGAACTATGGTTTAAGACAGATGTTGCTAAGCTGGGGAGTGTCCCTAGGAGGTCAGCCAGGATGGGGAAAGACCTTAGAGTCCGTGGATTGGAGAGTTGGTTGAAGGAGCTGGGAATGTTGAACTTGGAGAGGAGAAGGCTGGGGTAAGGGAAGACATTGTTCACTTATCTGAAGAGCTGGATCTGATGTGTTCAGTGTGTTCCCAAAAGTGAAAGCTGCAAGAGGCCAGTTGGGGCTTGATGTCAGGAAAGACTTTCTAATGATCAGAGCTGACCAGATGGGCAGCGGGCAGCCTCTAGAGGCAGTAGGCGCTCCCTCATGGGGCATCGTAAGGCACAGCCTGGTTGGCAACTTGTCCGATATATTCCTGTAGGTTCAAGTGGCTGCTAAGGTTCCTTCCTGCTCTACGTCTGCCTACATGACTCTAATCAGCAGCTTTATAGGCAACCTTCACCATTTCTCGGCCTCTGCCCTCAATGCACCTCACCAGGCTGGAGAGTTCCTTAGTCCGAGGTCATTCCTTCTTCAATGAGAAGCAGAGTTTTCTGGGGCTGGGGCTGGAGCTGACCTCACCTCGCTGTCTTTTTTCCTCCTAGGGCTGTTACACTGTGATCCTCAATTCCTTTGAGACATATGTATATCTTGCTGGAGCCCTGGCCATCGCGGTGTTGGCTATTGAGGTAAGCAATGTCAGCCCCAAAATGCTTTTGGATCTGGGTGGCCCAGCTCCCCTTGCCCTCTTGGCAGGAGCTTTGGTCCTTCCTGCCCTGCTCCCCTCGTGATTTCCTTTCCCAAGACCCCCATGGCTCCCATCCCTCCCTCCAAGGACAAGATGTAAGGGTTAAGCGGCAAATAGTTGATGTCATCAGAAAAATTCAAAGACTTCCTGATGCTCTCTAACTGAGTGATCCTGGCAGGTCACTGCTCTGGACCTGTGTCCTCATTTGTGAAATGAGGGGGTTGGATTCAATGGCCTCTAAGATAATAATAGAATAATAAGAGCTAACATTTATACGGTGCTTACTATGTGTCAAACACTATGCTAAGCACTCAACAGTTATTACCCCATTTGAACCTTCAAACAATCCTAAGAAGTAGGTGTTCTTATTGCCCCAATTCTATAGATGGGGAAACTGAGGTAAATGAGGGTTATGTGATTTGCCCAGGATCACAAGACTAGTAAATGTCTGAGGCTGAATTTGAACTCAGTTCTTCCTTATGCCACCCCAACACATGACTGGTACAGAGCTTCATGCAAGTAGAGGCCCATTAAAAAAAAAAAAAGACTTCCCCTTAAGAAAAGAAAGCCAACCACTCTCAGGCTGAGCCCCATTCATCCTTCTGGAGACTCTCTATTCCTGATCCTGTCCATAAGGTTAAATATTCCCCTCAAAAGGGCTAAGTGAATCTGACCGGTAAGTATAATGTCATCTGTCAGCTGAAGTCTCTATCAATGGAACTACTTCCCTCCCTTCTTCCTCCTTCTCAGTTTGTTGGCCTTGGAGGCAAAAGAAGGAACCCCAAGGGGGCAGCTAGGTGGCACAGTGGATAGAGGACCGGCCCTGGATTCAGGAGGACCTGAGTTCAAATCCGGCCTCAGACACATAACACTTACTAGCTGTGTGACCCTAGGCAAGTCACTTAACCCCCACTGCCCAACCGAAAAAAAAAAAGAGAGAGAGAGCGAGAGAAAGAAGCCCAGATCATTGCAAAGCTATTACTTTGGTAGGCCCAAAGGCCCAGGGGAAACATAGCCAGGTAGAACGTACAAAGTAAGCAATGATTTCTAACCTTCACCTGGCCACCCCCTGTGGATTTTCAGTCTTTTCAGGCAGTGATGTAAAACCCTCAAAGCAGGAAATATTTGTGCTAATCCATTTCAATTTATTTTTTAATCAAGAAATATCATCCAATATCTTTAGGAAAGAGGATGCCCAGTCTTCAAAGCTGTCAGATTTGGTGAGAAGCATCAGTATAGCTGCCAGCCCTCACTTTCAAGTTGCTACTTGACGAGATGGGAAAATTCAGCGGGAAAATTCAAGTTCCCCCAAATTTGGCCTTAGGAAGGCAATCAATCCCGTTTCCACTGTCTGCTTTTGTCCCCCAAAGCTTCCTTCATCAGGTCGTCCAACCAAAGCCTGACGATGCTGTTAGAGATCCGTGCCACCTTCCCCTGCTCCACTCATCTGGGAAGGATTTACCTGAGATCTCTTGGTCAATGTAGTGCCCAGAGATGAGAGCAGCACAGAATTATGGGATCACAGAGCTAGAGCCAGAAGGCAGGTTTTCTAATCCAACCTCCTGATTTTACAAGGAAGGAAATTAAGGCCTAGAGAATTTAAGTGACTTGCCCAAGGTCATACAGACAGTGCATGTCAGAGGCAGGATTTGAACCCAGGTCCTCTGACTTTAGAGCTAGCAGACTCTCTACTGTATCCTGCTGCCTTAGCTGACAACTCCTTATCCAGGCTATACCCAGAGCAGAGAGCAGCATGGCCTCTAGCAAAATAAAGTAGTTGAGAAATTCACAATGAGGAAATTCTCTCATTCCAGTCCATTCGACTCAATCTAGTTTCACAAATATTTATTAAGGACCTTGTGTGTGCAAGCATTGTGTCAAGAAAAAAAAAACGAAAGCATTCCTACCCTCTAGGAGCTTACATTCTAGTGGGGGGTAGGGTATGAGGATATTTCATATATAATACAGAATATGGAGTGATAGGGGCAAAGGACAGAACCTCTAGAGTCTTCCTCTACTGTCACTCAGAGGTGGCTCTGGGCTCGAGTTTGTTAGCAGCCAAAACCTGACTCTGTCTCCTGCTTTCTTTTTACAGCTGTTCGCCATGATCTTTGCCATGTGCCTCTTCCGGGGGATCCAGTAAAGAGGATCCTGCCCCTCCCATTTCTGGTGATTGCTAACCCTGCCTTGCCTCCTCCCCTCCCTACAGTCCCCACCCCTGCCTGCCTGCCTGATCCAGACAAAGCAAAGCTGGCAGGGGGCAGGTGGTGGGGATGGCGAGAAGTTGGGCAGTAAATAGCTATTTTTTTTAACAAGAAGAAATGAAGAAAGGAAAAAAAAAAAAGATTGTTGTAACATATACTTGGCCGAGGAGATAGCCCAGAATCAGAGGTGCTGCGCACTGGACATGAGTGCCGGGCTTCTCCCTAAGGGCACCCTGCCCAGGGACCAGGAGCCAGAAGCCAACCAGGCGTGGATTGCACTAAAGACCAAAGGAGCATTGGCAGCATGGTGGTGGGGAGGCATCTCCCAGCATTCCTTCTCCTTGTACAGCTAGACCCTATGACCATCCCTCAGGGTCAATCTCGTAGACCACATTTGACCATGTTTGACCAGGCCAAGGAGATAGCAAGGGGAAGGGGCAACAGATGGGTCTTGTGTTCCAAGGCAGGAAGTAGAAAGAGAGGGAAGCTGAAAAGGCCAGCAAAAAAGACTCTGCCCCTCTGGGAAGAAGGCTAAAAGCCAGGCAATCTTGGAAATACTGCGTCATCCAGAAAGACGAGTTCAAATTGGAATTCACCTGGGGAGGAGGGGTTGGATAGGTGGCTGGGGGTAGGGATGGAAGGGGGGGGCATGTCCTCAAGCAGAGATTTTTGAGGATCTTCGGATAGAGGAAACTGGAGTGAGTCTCAGTTCCCTCTAAGAAAGTGCCCAGGGTTGATAATTATCACCACCTCACTTCTGGCCACCCCTCACCCCCAACTCTCTCACAGTGTTGGGAAAAGCACAGTTGATAGGATCATGGGTCTGGAGCTAGAAGGGACATTGGAGACAAACTTGCAGATGAAGCTCAGGGCCACAGTGCGCTTTGCCCAAGATCACACAGACAGGATCTGACCTCTCTGCCTTGTGCCATTTTGACTCTATCCCACGACTGTCTTACTGGAGGCCATAAACCAGACTAGTCAACCAAGCAGGGCTTGGGGCAAGGGGTCCCTGAGGGCACCCATTGCAGGCAGAAGCATCCTCAGTTCTCTCTGCTGCCTCCCTCTGCCCTCCAGTCCCCTACATCCCACGCCTCCCACATCAACCTTGCTTTATGGAGAGGAGGTGAAATCAGAGGAGTATTGCCCCCCCTTTTCACTTCCTCCCTCCAGAGCTAAAACTAGGATAGGGCAGCCAAGCTTTGCTGCAGAGTGGGGAATTTAGAAGTAGCCACATCACATTCCTGAGGGTACACGCTGGCCTGTCCACCCCACCTCTGGCAGCAACGGCGACAGTGGTCACTGTTGGCCTCACCCATTGGCACATGCTCGGCTCTGGTCCTAGCAGCAACAGCACTGTGCTTTTTTTGCCCTCAAAAGTCTTACTCCCTGCAGGGCAGAAACCTCAGGGTGCGTGTACATCTCCCCTCTTGCCGTAGGCGAAAATGTACACTGGGGCTCTGCCTGCCTCCTTTGGGTTGTCTCTTCTCTCTTACCCTTCTCTTTCCACATGGACTGTCCGTTCTTCTGCCTTCCTCCTGATAAGGCCAGAGGATAAAGCTGTGCCAGGCCCAAGAAGTAAAAACAAATCCCTCCCCCAGAAGGGCCCTCGTAAGAAAGGAAAACAGAGGCCACAGGGAGGACCCAAAAACCTTTTTTTAAGGAAACAGGATGAGACCCTAGAATGAGCCAGGACAGCTCCTCTCTCAGAAGCACAGGGAGGAGTTTGGGGGCATGCTGGTGTCCTGTCTAGACCGTATTCAGAGTCGGGCAGATGGGAAAGTTTTCTCCTCTCCTTCCGGCTTTTCCCATACTCAAATGAGCCTTCACCCAATCCTATCAAAAGGGGGATGGGAGTCGAGGGTGAGGGAGTGGGGTTGGTGGGAGATTCAATCCCAGCACAGGCTGCCAATTGTGTTAGAAACCCTTTCAGAAGCTACTGACTCTTTGGAGAAAGAAGGACAATTTTGGTGGGAAGGGTAGGGGCAGGCTCTGGGGTCCTCACTAGGTCCGGGTCCCTGAGCTGCTGCTGCTGCTGCTTGTTTTTAGTAATCATCCCCCTGCCCCTCTCCCCCCAACCCTGACTTGCCCCTTTTCCCTTCTTTCTGTCATTATCTAATCAGAGGCCCTAGAGATTGAGTGCACCAGGGCCCTCCCAACCTCCCTCCCCCAGCCCAGTCTCCTGCCATGTGAAATACGTTGAAAGTCTATTTTGAAAATTGTAAATGTTCCTTGGAGTAGATAGCAGAGCTAATTTATCATGTATTCCCTCCCATCAGGCTTTTTTTATATTGGGGAGTTTTTTTTGTAATATAAAAAGGAACATGCATTGAATGTTCTGCACCAGTCTTTGTGTCTGTTTCTTAAAAAAAAAATAAATAAATAACTGCATACATAAATGGTGACCATGAATCAGGTTGCTTTTGATTTGGAGTCTTGGGGAAGGGGGAGGGAAGTAGAAAATAGAAATTGGGGGAGGGAGTGTCCTGCAAGCTAGAAACAAGATGTGTACAGGAGGCAAGGGGGAATAGAAAAGAGGCTTTGGAGCAAAGCAAATAGGCTTTAGAATCAAGAGGGCGAGAGATTGAATGTGAGCTCTGATGCTCACTTGGGACCTGTGGGTCCTTGGGCAAAAGACTTCATTCCTCTAGGCCTCAGCTTTTCCATCTGTAAAATGATGTACATTGCCTCTCAGACCTCTTCTAGCTCTAAATCTGCAATCCCGTGAACCCTCCTCAGAGCTGGAAAGGTCTTTAGAACAAAATGTTAGAGCTGGAAGGAATGTTAGAACATAGATTGTTAGAGCTAGAAGGGTCCTTAGAACACAGAATGTCAGATCTGATAAAAGAACTTAGAACATGGTATGTTACATCTGATTGGGAGCTTAGAACATGGAATGACAGAGCTGGAAAGGTCCTTAGAACACCGAATGTCAGATCTGAGAAGGAGCTTAGAACATGGAATGTCACATCTAAGAGGGAACTTAGAACATGGAATGGCAGAGCTGGAAAGGTCCTTAGAACACCAACCATCAGATCTGAGAGGGAGCTTAGAACATGGAATGTCACATCTAAGAGGGAGCTTAGAACATGGAATGGCAGAGCTGGAGAGGTCCTTAGAACCCTGAATGTCAGATCTAAGAGGGAACTTAGAACATGAAATGGCAGAGCTGGAAAGGTCCTTAGAATACAGACTGGCAGAGATGGAAGAGATCTTAGAACATGGAATGGAGAAGCTGGAAAGGTCCTTAGAACATAGAATGTCAGACCTCTAAGGGCCTTTTGCGTATAGAAGAAAGTATGTCAGAGTTATAAGGAACCTTATAACACAGAATAGTCAAAATGGAAGAAACTTTACGATATAGAAAATAGAATGTTACAACTGAAAGGGAGCTTACACCACAGAATACGGAATGTCCCACGTGGAAAAGATCTTGGCACATTGAATGTTAGTAGTAGAAGAGACCTTACAGCAGGGGCTCTAGTGTCATGGACATCCTGGGCAGTCTGGTGAAGCCTTCTCTGATTAATGTTTTTAGATGCATAGTAAGAAAACAATTATATTGAAGTAAAGATGTAATTGTTTTTCCCGTCCAAGTTCACAGATGCCCTTGAAATCTTTCCACTTGGCAAGTGCATGGACCCCAGACTAAGAACCCCTACTTAGAACATAGAATGTCAGAGCTAGAAGGTGCTAACCACAGAGAATATTCAAAATGGAAGGGATTAGAATGTAGAGATGCTGGAACCAAAAGAGACTTTACAACATAGGAGGTCAGATCTGGAAAGGACTTTATGGGATATAGAACACGGAATGTCATTACTGGAAGGGACTTTAGAACAAAGATACAATGTTAGAGCTGGAAGGGACCTAAGAACCTAGAATGCTAAAGTCTAGAAGAGACTTTAAAGTCCACCCAGTTCAACCCCCTAATTTGACGAGGAAACAGAAGAATGGTGAAAGGAACTGATTTGCCCGGGGTCGTATAAACTCAGTCTCTTGCCTTCTAGCCCAAGGTTCTTTTCACCAAACTACTGTGTCCCATTCCCCTTAATGCCTTGATGGGTGGCAGAAGCTAATGTGATCAACTGATTCCATGAGATGGGGGTTGAGGAGGGACAAGGAACAACTACCTGTCCTACACTACCTGTCCCAGGTGACATGTTCCATTTACGGAAAAGGCCTTCGATGCCTCTAAAGGAATATTCAGACATTCTATGTTCTGTGTTTCCAAGGTCCCAGTCCAGGCACAACATTCTGTATTCTAAATCTTACTCCAGCTCTGAAATGCTATGTTCCAAAGTTCCAGTTCTGACATTTTGTGTTCTAAGGTCTCTTCCAGCTCTGACTGTCTCTCTTGTATGGTTTCAACTCTGACATTCTATGTTCTACATTTCTTTTTTTTTTTATGTTCTACATTTCTAAGGTCTCTTCCAGGTATAATATTCTATTTTATAAAGTTTACTCCAAGTCTAACATTCTATGTTCTAGGATCCTTTCCAATGCTGACATTCATTCTATGTTCTAAAGTCCTATTTCTGACATTTTATCTTCTATGGTTCTTTCTAATTGGCATTCTATGTTACAGGTTCCTAGTTCTGACATTCTGTGTTCTAGAGTCCTTTTCAGCTCTGACAATCTATGTTCTACAATAAGGGATTGCTCCTATGCCTTTATTGTATGCCAATTTGTCTTTGGGCAAGTGTGTGTGTGTGTGTGTGTGTGTGTGTGTGTGTGTAAAGCACAATGTTGCAGGTTGCTGGACAATATCTGGTCTCTTGAAAAGGTTTTGCTCAGGTCTCATATAATCCACCACTTGTTCCACCCACCCTCCCCTTCCCCAGCACCACTCTGCACACACCTAGAAGTGGAAGTATAATCATAGTTGTAGCTTTTCCCTGTCCATAAACAACTTTATCTGCCCCTTCCCTCCCCGCCCCGCCCCGCCCAATGGCAGGTGATCCAGACTAAGGCAGTGAGGCTATCTTCTGTCATGTCCTGACCCCTCAACCACATCAGTAGCCAAAGGAATAGGTGGTGGCAGGCAGAGGGAAGCCGCTCTCCAACTTGTTTCTCCAGAGTCCCTAGCTCTGGAGGAGTCTTGGGGGAAGGGGGATGCCCCTCTGGTCCACGCTGGCCCTGTTTGGGAGAAAATCTGGGGATGTAGGGGGCAGGATTTTGACCAAATGGATTTTTTTTATTTCTGCTACTGAGGTATCAGGTTCAGAGAACAAAGTCTTGCAACACCCAAAGGAAGAAAAAAAAGAAAAAGACAAAGATACACACGCGATGTTTGAGTCCTTCTGGAATAGAACATGAGTTTCTGAATTTCCTGCTCTAAAGGCACCATTTGAAGCATGAAAAAAAATGAGAAAAGAGGCTAGAAAAGTAGGAAAGAGGGAAGGCAGGTAGCTAGACTTTCCTGCCCACTGGGTCAGAGCTCAGCCAGCAGGGGAAGGGGCTCTCCCAGGAGGCAAACACGGAGGAGGGTTGCGATTTGCAGAAATGAAGGGAGTTTTCTTCCTCTTTTTTGCATTTCCTAATTCTACTATTTACAAAATGGTTTCTGACTCAGGAACCTGTCACTGACAGGTAGAGGTGGGGATAGAGTTCACCAAGGCCCCTATCCAGAGAATGGAACAGGGGTAAGGGAAGCTGAGGAAGGTTGGGGTGAGGGAGGAGAAAGAAAGAGGTGGTCTACAGACTGGCAGGGATTGGGGTCTGGGGAGAGCCCTTGGGCCAATGCTCACATGGCAGTCTCCTGCCTGGAGGGACCATTGTTAAAGTTGAATCCCAAAGGGTATATTGGCCCCTCCCAATCTAGGTCTAATTCATCCTTGGGCAGCTTTGGAGTAGACCCTAGAGCCTCTCAGCTGGGGGTGGAGAGAAAACAGATGAGCATCTCTTTTTCTGTTTTTCACCCACCCCTGAAAGTACCCATCTTCATAAGGGGTGATAACCCTCCAAAAGGGGCATTTCCTATCAATAGAATGACTTACTCCTGTCTGTTATGGTCCCATCTGGCTGGGTTCACAGTCCACTGGACAGTCCAGCCCAGTGACCCATCTGCAAATCCACACCCATAGGCTGGGCAACAGCAAAACCTCTGATCCCAAGAAACAATATAGGGGTGAGATTGGAGTGGAGCCTAATGGCTCAGTTTCAGAGGATGGATGGTCAGTGAGACAGCTCATGAGCCAAAGGGGTCTCTAACCAAGAGTTCTAATATGGAGATGTCTGGAAAGACCAGGGGCAGTGTGGGTAGACTGCATTCAAATGCCTGGAATAGTCAGCCATGAAAAGACAAGGAGAAAACCTTGGATCTGAACTCAGGCTGAGGCTCCTACAGAGTTTAGGAGAACATCTTTGGGGCAGGCTTTGGCTTCCAGAGGATATGGGAGCAGCCCCATGAGCCTGGCCTCTGGTGACCCCATTTAGGGGGCTGTTCCCTCCTCCATTCCCTGGTCTCAAGTCCTTATGTTGCTTGGAATGGATAAGCTCTGAGCTCCCTTGCAACTCTGAGATTCAGGGATTCAGCAGCAGTGACCAGCAGAAGCCCAAAAGCTGGAGATCCCCAAAGGGTGGAGGTGGGCCTTTCATTTTGTCCCTACAGAAGCCATATCCAGTCTGTCCCAGTAGAAAGAGATGCTTTTTTTTATCCCCAGGGACCTTGGGTCTTTTCATCTAGCTCATAGGCGGTGGGATTTAGAACTGGAAAGAACCCTTAGAGATCATTAAGTACAATCTCCTCATTTTGTAGATGAGAAAACTGAGTCTCAGGGTTGTTAAATGACTTAGCCAACATCTCATAGGTAGTAAAGAGGACCAGGATTTGACCTCAAGAGTCTTCTACCTCCAAATCCAGTGTTCTTTCCACAGTATCACTGCTGCTTCCAAGACCTCAAAGACTAGACCAGCTCCTATTCCTACCTTGGGAAGTCTCAGATAGCTGGTCATGGACTAGGGAGATTTCTCAGGAGGAAAGCCAGTGGCTACACATTGGCCCAGGATCAAGGTCGGCTCCAATCCTAGGTCCAGGGGCTGGTTAGGACATGAAAACTCTTCAGTCTAGAATCACTGAGCCAAGCCAGGGTAACCACCTCCCTGCCTGGGCCAGGAGCCGAGCAGTCAAGGTCTGGGGACAGGGAGAGGTCACCCCCTCTAGTAGATGAAAAGGACAACCAAAAAATAAAACCCCCGAACGTCACCCTGGCCCAGGGAAGTCCAGGCAGGCCACCCCACCCCTGACATCCTCTGCCCATGGAGGGACAGGGCTACTAGGCCTTCTTGGTTCTGCGGCCCACTTGGTAATAGTAGTAAATGCTGACGAGGATGAAGAGGAGACGACTGGCGAGGAGGAACAGGGCCCCTGGCGAGATGTGCCCATTTTCTGCCAGGGTGGCAGTGGTGACTGAAAGACATAATGAGAAGAAGCCCCTGAGTCTTGTGAAAGCTGCCAACCTCCAGATCACCCCATGCCCCCACCCTGCTCTCACTCTCCCAGCTGCCATCCCAGGACAGACCCTCATAGTGCAAGAGCCTTCTACCTGGCCTCTCTGCCTCTAGCCTCTCTTTGCTCTGATTCACTCTATACTCTAAAATCGAGGTGATTTTTCCTAAAGCTCAGGTCTAACCTGGTCATCTCACGAAGGTTTAGTGGCTGCCTCTAGTGGCGGCTCTGCCTCTGGCAGACACTGCTTAGCTTGGCATTTAGAACCCCTCACAATCCGGCTCCTTTCAAGGCTTCTTGCTCCCTATTCTCCTTCACAAACTGGCCTCCCCACCATTCTTTGTATGCAACCCTCCCATTGCCTTTTTGGGGTCTGCCCCCATTGCCCACCATCTCCCTTAGAATTCCTCATTTCTTTCACTACTCCATTCAAGTACCATGCCTTACACAAGCCCTTCCCCTACCTCACAAGTCCTCATCGCCCCTCCCTACAATATCTATATTTATCTATCAGTGTGCATGTTGTTTCAGCCCCATAGACTGTGAGGTTCTTGAAGGCAGGACCCTTAAGTTTTCGTCCTTGTATCCCCAATGAATAGCACAGTGCCTGATACACAGTCAGTGCTTAATAAATGCTTATTGATTAATACTAATAGGCAGCTTTATGGTTTTTAATTAATGTAATATTTAATATATTCAATTAATATAATAATTATGTTTAATTAAGATAATAGTAAGTAATGTCATTTTGTGGTTTACAAAACACTTTACATATATTATCTCATTCAAAATGAGAGCTTATCTTAAATGAGATAATATATCTAATGTTACCCACCTTGGAAATAATCTCAAAAATTGTCTCATTTTGAATGAGATAATATTACATGTAATGCTACTCACCTGGGACTCAGGATGCAGAATGAGACCTATTTTGGGGACATGGCCAATGAAGGATCTGTTTTTATGACAATGCATATTTGTTACAAGCGTTTTGTTTTTATTTATTTTTATTTTCCAATGGTTAGAAGGAGGGTTAGAAAAATGGGAGCAAGAAAAAATAATTTTTGTCTATTGAAAAAAATGATATTTTATTTGATCCTCACAACAATCCCATGAGGTAAGCATTGTTATTCCCCCCCCCCCCCCATTTTACAGATGAGAAACCTGAGGCTGAGAGGAGTTAAGTGACTCATCCAGTGTTACACAGGTAGTATATGTCAGAGGCAGACTTTAAATTTAGGTCTCCCTAACACCAAATCTAGGGCTCTCTCCACTTTGGCGCCTAGATGCCTCTGAGAATGAAGAGAGAGGAAGGTCAATGACCATGAGAAAGGGATGAATTAGGAAATAAGGTAGGTCCCCAGGGTTGTCAGTGGGGTGTGAAGATTGCCTTCAGGATGCCAGCTGCCCAATGCCAGCCTCGATCGCTATCTGCTACCAGGTGACCATGCTCCACCACATCCCTATCTTCCTTCCCCAAGGCATTTCCCCTAAGTCTACCCAGATGAGAATGAAGAAGCCAGCCAAAGCAAGACTCTACCATCAATTCTCATCCAACCCCAGAGGAAGCAGTTTTGAAGGGATGGGGGATGTTGGAAATGCCACCTCTGTGTGTCCTGGGCTGACTGGATGACCTGCTCTTTGGTGAGAAGGGCACATCCTGTAGCCAAGGTAGCTTAAGCTGTAGTAAAGAGAGAGCTGGATTTGGAATGGGAGGATCTTGGATTCGAAACCTCTCTTTGCTATTTACCACCTCTCTGGGCCTCAGTTTTCTCATCTGCCAAATGAGAATACTGGAGTAAAAGATCTTCCAAGGTCTCCCCTCTAGTAACTCACCTAGGAACTGCACTCCAAAATAGCAGGCCTCGGTGAGCAGCGTCCAGCGGATAATGACCTTCTCAGCCGTGTAGAGGGCATTCCACATGATAAGAGAGATGCCTGGGGCAGAAGGAGAGAGCAGGCTGTGTGGTGGCTATACCACTGAGGCCCCGTGGACCAATCTTCCCCTCTTTCCTCCCCAACTCCCTCCCCCTAGCCAATTCAAGGGGCAGGCTCTTTCTGGCCACCTCATACCAAGGCACTGGTATTTTGGGGGAAGGATTTCTGATAATCAAGGCAGAGATGTAAGGGGAACCTGCACTGACAGGACCTCTCCCATCTCTACTCTAAGCCGAGTACAAATTGTGTCCCCAAAGGCAGTGTCCCTGAGTCCTTGAGAGCTGGGAGGGGCCTGAATGGTTATTGAGTCATTCCCCGTCCACACCCTCCCCATTAGGGCTTTGCCCAGGGCCCTGCTCTCTGGTGGCAAATCTGAGTTCTTCCCTACCGATGTGGTTCTAAACTAGCCCTGTGACCTTAATTAAACCTGTCTTTCCTCTCTCTGCCTCAGTTTCCTCCTCTGAGAGTATGATTCCCACTTCCTCTACTTTGACCGGCTGGGTGGCCTTAAGGAGGCCAATAAATCACTCTAGACCTCCATTTGCTTATTTATAATATGATGAGGCTAGACTCAGTGGCCTCTAAGGTTAATAAAAATAATTTGTAGAGTACTTTAAGATCTGAAAGCATGGTACAAATATTGTCTCATTCAATCCTCACAACAACCTTGGGAGGAAGGTGCTATTATGATCCTTATTTTGTAGAGGAGGAAACTGAGGCAGACAAAGGTCAAATGACTTGCCCAGGGTCACACAGCTCATAAGTGTCTGAACTAAGTTGAAAGAAGGGCTTCCTGACCCCAGGTATAGCTCTCTACGCACAGCCTCTCCAGCTCTGAGACACCATGGGAGGCAGGGTGGTCGTGGTGGAAGAAGGTCAGGATTCAGAGGCTGGCTTTGGTGATTTACTGCTCTAAGACGGGTCACTTCACCTTTTAAGCCTCAGTTTCTCCATTTGTAAAATGAAGACAATGCCTACAACACCTATGTCTCAGGGATGCTACAGCATACAGGCTTGAATGAGATCAGGTATATAGTGGACTTTGTAAAGCCTAACATGCTCTAGATATGTAAACTAGGACCATTAAATGCCGCTGCTGCTGCTGCTCCTGCTACTACTACTACTACTGCTACTACAACAACAACAACAACAACTACTACTACTACTACTACTACTACTACTACTACTACTGCTACCATTACTGCTATTTAGGTCAATGTCATGATGGACTGCTATTCTGAGTCTTGCCACAAGGTGGCACCACAGGTTCAAGCCACTCAAGGGACTGATCACCATCCATATTTAGGGTCTAGAGCTGGAAAGCATCTCAGCTGCTATTTACTACAACCCCTTCATTTTACAGATGGGGAAACTGAGTCTTAAAGTGAAGTGACTTGCCCAAAGTCACGCAGGTAGTAAGTTCTGGGATATTCTAATACTGGAGCCAGTGCTTTTTCTCCATCGCACCAAGTTGCTTTGTGTTCTTCCAGCCCTCCCATCTTACAGGTTGAGAAACTGAGGCCTGGAGATGTGAGGTGACTTTCCAAGCACACACAGGGGTACTTGCCCAAAGTCTGGAGGAAGCAGTGGCGGGGGATAAGGACAGGACTATACCAGTTTAGGGCAGCAGCGCCCACTCATTTCCCTCAGTAATATCCTGAGACTCCTTCCTACCTTAATCGAATTAGTGACCCCTTAGGGAAAGGAAGTTTTAATGCCACCTGTTGCCCCTCTCAGTCTCAGACTGATCTCCAAGTGTTCCTCCTGTCATGGGGCCCCAGCAGAAGAACGGGAAGGAATACTTACTGCTATACTGAGATTCTTTTCATATATGGGTTAGACTAGACGTGGCCAGTGGGGCTCCCCCCAGCTCCAAAGTCCTGTGATTCTCAGGTGCTCTTCTCACTGAGCCACCCCACCTATTTCCTCTTCTCTGGAAAGTCCACCCTCAACCTGGGGACCCCCATATCCCTACTCACTGAGGAGCGCCCCTCCATAGAGTCGAATTGGAGTTTTGCTGTTCACCTCAGCTCCATCGAAGACAGCATCAAACAGCTGGTCAGGAAAGGCAAGGGCCTGAAAAGTATAGAGAGAGGACATTGGGGCAGGAGTAGGCTGGGAGAGCCCACCAACGATATCCTACCTTCCCAGGCAAAACCCAGGCAAGGGTGGGCAGCAGTGGCTGGGAAGGAGAAGTTATCCTAGGATCAGGATTCAGAACAGAAAGATCCCTCAGGGGTCATTTAGACCAACTCCCCCTTTACAGATGAGGAAACTGAGGCTCAGGGATTTGAAGTGACTAGCCAAGATCAAACAAATAGTGTCAGAAGCAAGATATAAACCTAAATTCTCTGACTCCAGGCCTGTGATTTTTCCAGCACCCCCTTTTGTGTCCCCAAACCAGCTTCTGGCTTCCCAAAATGTGAATGGGAAGTGGGAGATGGTGTGTTTTATGGGGGGGAGGGGGTGAGAAGGCAGCTGTTTCCAATTCAGATAACAGGATATGGGACTAAATGGGGCAAAGAATGGTCCTTTCTGGTCCACTGGGTGCCCCTTGGAAGTTCCTTGAGGAGAGGAACTGGGTCCATTTCTTTGTAGAGTCAGGTACGGCTGACTGATCCATTCCAGAAGGTTTATCATAAGAAGGATGAAGTAGAGACAATTGAATTGCCCTGATTGGGGTAGGGGGAGCTAAGTGAACCCTCTTGGGCAAATCAGTAGGAAAACCATGAGAGGCTGAGCTATGATGGTAGAGGTGGGAAAGGAAGAGGGGAAGGGATGGCCAAAGACTGAACTATGGTCTTACCATGATGGCAACCCCAGAGAAGAGAACAGCTGAGACAAACTGCCAGACCCTGGAGAGAAGACATAGATTATAGCAAGGAATACCCCGCTCCCTCCCACAGCCCTCCATCCCCAGAGGCAAAGGGTCAGAGGACAGGCTCCAGTTATGGCCAGATCAGGGAAACGAAGCCTAGAACAGATAGACATTAGCTGGCTGGGGTCTCCCCTGCTCTCCTTCTTTCCCCACCCTTCCCTTCCTCTCTCTACATGTTGGGGGGGGGGTATGGAGGAGGACATCAGCAGGGAAATGGGGATGGAAGCAGGGGAGTTTCTACCTCCACTCACCTGAGCCCCAAAGGCTCCCGGACAGTAAACTTGATTTCATTTCCCAGCACCTGGCTGATCTGCCATTGAGAAAGAGAAAGTGGGAACTGGGGGTGGGGAGACGCAGGGCTCCTGAAGCCCATTTAGAACCTCAAGGCAAGGAGGGTTTGGGATCTATTCCCCTCCAGTAGGAAAGCAACCCTCTCCCTATCCCTCCCCTCACCACATACCAACAATCAAATCTTTGATCAACAAGCATTTACTAAACGCTTTTTGTATGCCGGGCACTGTGCTAGGCCCTGGGGATATAAATGCAAAAATAAAATCATCTCTGCCCTCAAGGGAATCACACTCTATCTGGAGCAGCAATATAGGTACAGTATACAATATAGATACATGCTGTATATAGGGGTGTGTGTGTGTGTGTGTGTGTGTGTGTGTGTGTGTGTGTGTGTGTGAATGGGGGGAGAGAGAGAGAGAGAGAGAGATACCATGCAATTTGGGGGAAGGCACTAGCTAGGGGAATCAGAAAAGACTTCATGTAGATGGAACTGTTTGAGCTGAGTTTTGAAGGAAATTAGGAATTCCAAGAAGTAGACATGATTCCAGGCATGGGGACCAGTCAGTTCAAAGGCACCAAGATGGGAAATAGAGTGCCATGTAAGAACAGTAAGATGGCCAGAGTGGGACGTACTTGAAGGGTAGTAATGTGTAGACTGGAGAGGTAGGAAGGGTCCAAGCCCAAGTGAGAGGGCTTTAAATACCAAACAGACATGGTCCGACCTGTGCATTAGGCAAATGCTTGATCAATTGAATGGAGAATGAATTGGAATAGAGAAAGAGGACGGAGGGGGTCCGAATAGGAGACTATTGTGATAGGCCAGATGAGGGATGGCTATCCCCACTTACTGAGCCCTGGCTTTCCTCTCGGACCCATGGTCTCAGGACCACTCCCGCGTTCATGGCCTTGCTGCCCCCAGCCCCCCAAAAGAGAGCACATCATAATGAAGGAAGAATTAGATTTAGAGTCAAGGGAATAGGTTCAAATTCTTGCTCTGCCAACCTCGCCTGGGTGCCCTCCAGCGAATTACTTTTCCATCCCTGGGTTTTGGTTTCCTCAGCTATAAAGTCAGGGAGTCACACTAGGCACCCTCCCTCTAAGGTCTCTTCCAATTGTAAATCGATAAGTAATGCAGTCTGGGAATAGCCTCCCTTTGCTTTGCATTTGAAACCTTAAATGGTGATTCCGTCCAAGTGGTGGAACCGGCTGTCAGGTGAGGAGAATCTTTTGGCCACTAGGTGCTCCCCAAGTCCCTCCAAGCCTCTCGCTGAGCTAACCACCCCACTCCCATCGCAGTCCATTTCTTTCCTTCTTATAATAACACAAACCATTCACTTTTCTATTGTGCTCTAGGCTTTATAAAGAGCTTTTACCTACAATAAGCCTGCAGAGAGAAAAATCTTTCTCCTCACAGCTTCCCTTCTGCCCAGATCTTTCCCTCCCCCATTCTCCACCACAGTATCTCCAGATGCCTCCTAGGGATGCAAGCAGAGGAGGGGCGGGGTCCTAAGGTAGCTGTCTCATCTTATTTTGACAGAGGGGAAATTGAGCTAACACAAACAAGATGAGGCCCCTTAAGAGGAGGAGAGGAGAGGGAAAGGGGATGGAGCTGGTCTGTGCTCCAAGCCAGGACAAAACCTTAGCACAGCCTGGGCAAGGGAAAGTTGAAGAATTAGCCCCCTTTCCTCCATATGGGGGCATCCCACTAAAGCTTTTGGTAGCCAATAATGAAAGTCATCATACATAACTAAGTTCAGGGCTAGAAAGGGAGCTCATTTACCATAGAAGAAACTGAGACTCAGAGAGGAAAAGAGATCTTCCCAAAGTAATCTAGCTGGTAAGCATCAGAGCTGGGATTTAAACCAAGGTCCTCTGGTTCCAAATTCAATGCTATTTGCACAATACTCTATTGCCTTTCACTTGATTTGACTCATAAAGTGAATCTCCATAAGTCATGAATAGTGGGCTTTGCTGACAGAGATGAAACACACACATTTAGTAAAATCTGTATTAAAAAGTATCCCTCACTTTGAAGAGGTGAGGGACCACAGGCATGGAATGTGCACATAATGTCAGACTTTTTTGATATGTAGGTTAGCTCTGAGGATCTCTTTTCCTTCCTTTTTTCCCCCTTTATTATAAGGGATGGTTCTCTGAGAAGGAGTAAAAATAAGATAGATATATTGGGAAATATAGGTAATATAAAAACAAAGATATAAAAAATGTTTTAAAGATCTTGAATCAATTGAGCTTGGAGCCCCCTTTCCAGGAGTATAGTCCAAGAGTAAGTTCTAAGACTGAATGGTTCTCATATCACAAAAATGGGAGGATACAAGGAATGGATAACGCAACCAATGACAGAATCAATATCCAAAAAGGTCTTCATGGGCCAAATCATTGAGCAGATTCCAGTGTGATGAAATTCTATAGGGATAAAGGTGAAGTCTTATATCTGGCTTCAAAAAAAATCAACCTCACAAATATAAGATGGAGGAAGCATGGTTAGACAGAAATTTGTTGGAAAAACCATGGAAGGACTTTAGTGGACTGCAAATTTAACCTAAGGTAAGTGGAATATTCAAATAATCTCATCTATTTGGAAGTTTCCTCCAAGGATAGAAATCATAGCCTATCCATGACTTCCTAGATAGTGCAACTTGTTCATCAATGTGCTTTCAGTGGTTGTTCAGTCATTTTTCCAGTCATGTCTGACTCTTCATGACCCAATTTGGAGTTTTCTTGGCACAGATTTGCCATTTCTTTCTCCAGTTCATTTTACAAATAAGGAAACTGAAGCAAACAAGGTTAAGTGACTTGCCCAGAGTCACATGACTAGTAAGTGTCTGAGGCCAGATTTGAACTCAGGAAGATCAGTCTTTCTGACTCCAGGCTTGACACTCTATTTACTGTGCCACCTAGTTGCCCCATATCAATGTGACATCAGCTAAAAAGACTAGTGACATCTGGGGATGCTTTAAAAGACACACATCTTGGGGCAGCTAGGTGGCACAGTGAATAGATCACCGGCCTTGAAGTCAGGAGGACCTGAGTTCAATTCCAGCCTCAGACCGAACACTTGACACTTACTAGATGTGTGACCCTGGGCAAGTCACTTAACCCCAATTGCCCCCCCCCCAAAAAAGACATCTTTCAAGAATAAGGTGACAATCCCTCCATACTCCAACCATAATCAAAATTCCATTCTGGGGCCCTGTCTTTAAGGAGATGGTAAACTGGAAAGCATCCAATGTGGTGAAGAGCCTTGAGACCATGTCATAGAAAGATAGGTTAAAGAAACAGGGGATGTTTAGACTGGAGAAGAGAAGACACAATAGTGACATGACATACATCTTCAAGTGTTTGGAGAGTGACCATGTGGAGAGATTAGATTTGTTTAATTTAGTCCCAGCAGACAGAACCAGATGCGCTTGCTGGAAGTTAAAAAGAGCCAAGTTTAACCTTCTTGGTAGGGAAATCTTCCTAATCATTAGGGTTATCCAGAAGTGGAATGGGTGACCTCTGGAGGGGGTGGGCACCTCCTCTTTGGGGGTCTTTGAGCAGAAGTTGAATGAACACTTGATAATAAGTGCCATGAGTGGAGAATTCCTTTTCTCCTTTGGGAAAGATTAGACATTTATCAAGGCCTCTTCTGACTCTAAAATCCTGTGGGTTTATGATGGAGCTATCTCCTTGAATCCCTACATAAGAAGGACTTGGGCGTGGCCTCATTCACTCTCCCTCCCTCTTCCTTTGCCCTTCTCATTTTACTTTCCCTTTTTATCTGCCTATCGATCTGATCATTCCCCGCAGCCAAGCTTACCACCCTGTGCTCCTCAAAGAAGGCTCCTCACCTTGGAGCGGTGCACTTCTCCATCATCATCCTCTCCTCCCACTCCCAGGATCTTTCGGGTCTTCAGGCGGCTCACCAGGTCCGTCTGGCTGTGCTTTTTCATGAGAGGCGGGGGTTGCTTGGCTGCCATCTTGGTGACTGGCACCTGAGGACTGACCTCAGGAGAGCTGGAAAGAGAGAGGTCCCTTCAGCTCAGTCCTGCTGGGAGGTCTCAGGTTCTGTCCTTGGAACCTGGCACATAACCTGTAGTACTGCTCCCAGTCCAGCTCCAAGACAGCCCACAGCAATGGACAATGAGATCACAGGCCATGGGGCCAATGTCTCTCATTGGTTGCCCTCAGGGACAAGCACAACAGGGTTTCCACCCACCCCTCAACCCTCAGGGGAAGTCCTGCAGTGACCAAGGAAGGAGATGGGGAGTTTGAACAGAGGCCAAGTAATATTAATAGTCCACATTCATTCTCCTAGTGCCACACAGTTCCCAAAGCACTCTTTCCCCAGCCATACTATGAGGTGAGGAGAGGAAGCACTATTTGCAAGTAATTTTAATCCCCTTTCATGGATAAGGAAACAAAGATCCAGATCTATTAAGAGATCTGTCCAAGGTCCCCCAGCAAGTAAGTTACAGAGCCATCCAGGATGGGATCCAGTTCTTTTGTCTATAAATCCAGAGTTCCCAGGGTCAGTGTGAGAATCAGCAGGCACACCCTAGGGCATCTAGTCCAATACCCACCCACGCTCCATGGAATCCTACTGCGTTGCCTCTCCAGCGATGGAAGAGAGAGGATCTTGAAGAACTAAGCTTGCTTTGTCAACTATCAGAAGCTTGTTCTCATCTGGGCTGGTGCCACCTTGATATCTAGGGTCCCTCATGAAGGGAATTCATTCTCCCTCATTCCAAACCCATAGAGACAACAAGAACAAATTCAATTCAGTCCCAGCTTATTCCATTCTACCAATATTTATATGAGCTTACCATGGGCAAACTTCACATTCACATAAACCCCTAAGGTTAAAAAAAAAAAAAAACCACAATACTTTTCTCTTGCCAACCTATGGTGGATATGGTACTATATGGTATAGGTAGGCCCACTTTATAGATGAAAAATTTAGAACGAGTGGCATTCTATTTGACTCGGCTCTTTTCCGTCTCCAAGTCTACTTTACACCATACATAAAGCTCTCCTACAAGAATCAGGAAAGTTGGTGCCCTTGTTCACATGGGGAAACTGAGGCACAAAACAGGGCTATAGAATCCAATGTGGGTTGGGGCCCAGGTTTTCCAAGCCCAGGCTCATTCCTATCTCAGAGCACTTGTTAAGAATGGTCCGTCTCCTTCTGCTCCCTCTCCCACCTCTCCCACCTCCTTTTGGTCCATTCCAAGGATATTCCAAGGATATCCCAAAGTCTATTCCTCAAGGGCTCAATCAAGTCCCATTCCTCAGTTAAGCTTGTCCTGCCTGCCAGGGCTCCAGTGATCTCCCCTTTCTTAGAATCCTTTTAGCTTTTCAGTTCTCTTCCACAGTCTAGGACTTAGGATCATGGATTTATCACCAGGAGGAAATTCAGAGGCCATCTAGCCCAGCCTTATTATCTTAAAGATGAGGGAACTGAGGCTTAGAGGGGTAACCCTGTCCAGAGTCACACAGTCAATCAACAAGCATTTAACTGGGCAGCTAGGTGGCACAGTGGTTAGAGCACTGGCCCTGGAGTCAGGAGGACCTGAGTTCAAATCCAGCCTTAGACCCTTAACACTTACTAGCTGTGTGATTCTGGGCAAGTCACTTAGTCCCGATTGCCTTGACAAAAAACAAAAAAAAAAAAATGCATTTTGGCTTTCTTTGCATCGCCAGTGTGTGACATAGTAAGAGATTCTTTGATAAATGCTTTTTCTCACCTGGGCTGGGCCAGTTGGTGCCCCACCCCTCCTCCTCTCCTGCTGCTGCATTCTGCAGAATGTGCGGAAAAGTTTGTTTTATTTTGTTCTGTTTTTAACCTTAGGGCTTTACATGAATGTGAAGTTTGCCCGTGGTAATATTCGTAGAATGGAATAGACTGGGACTGAATTGAATTTGTACATGTTGTCTCTATGAATTTGGAATGAAGAAGGACAAAACCCCAGCATGAGGGACCCTACATATCAAGGTGGCACCAACTGGCCCAGCCCAGGTGAGAATAAGCATTTATCAAAGAATCTCTTACTATGCCACACACTGGTGATGCAAAGAAAGTCAAAAATGGTCCCCACCCTGAAGAGGCTTCCATTCTAATGCAAGAGATAACATGTGAATAACTAGTACACATAAGATAGATACAGAGTAGGTGAGGAGGGAAAGGGAACAAGCATTTATTAAGTGCCTACTATATGCCTGGTGCTTTACAAAGACAATCTCTTTGATCCTCACAACCCTTTGAAGTAGGTGTTACTATTAATCCAACTTGGCTGTTGGGGAAACTGAGGCCAGTAGAGTTTGTTACTTGCCCAGGGTCACACAGCTTGGAATTGTCTGAAGCAACATTTGAACTCAGGTCTTTCTGTTTTTGGTCCCAGTGCTCTACTCACTGCACCACTCAGCTGTCATGGAAGCCAGCAGCAACTTTTCCAGGGAGAGGGGCCTGGGATCTTCTCTCTTTCCTCAAACTGTAGGGCACCCCTCATGCTAATTCCTAGCTGTCCTCCAGGTGATGTGGACATGGGGTGCATCACTACCCAGCCCAAGAACTAGAGCGGTGACCTTTTCCACACCACCAAAAACTTGCTCAAGTAGGGAGCCCAATGGTACATAGTGGGAACGTGGGGTCAGAGGACCTGTGTTCAAATCCTATCTCTTCTACTTGGACAAATGACTCGACCTCCCTGGGCCTCAGTTTCCTCATCTGTAAAAAATAAGGGGGTTAGACCAGATGGCCCAGGCAGTTCCCTTTCAGCTCTAGGCCTGTGGTCCATGATCTCCATCATTAAAAGCTTGTTCCCTTTGTAGAAAAGCAGAGTGATGCTGCACAGAGTCCTGGATTGGAAAGTAGAAAACCTGGGTTTGAATCTTTGCCTTGCTACTGACTGGTTGTGTGACCTTCGACAAATCACTTAACATCTCCGAAGCTTCAGTCCTCTTGTGGAAAACAAAAGCCTGGGTTAGCTGCTCTCCCAGCTCCAAGTTCTCTGGTTCTGAGGTTTCCTGGGTGTCTTTCATGACCCAGGAAACAGGGTTTAAGGCAAAATTCTTCCCTGCTCTCCTCCAGTGGGGCACGTGGTCGCAGCATTTCAACCAACCCACCCTTATTTTCTCTGTTGGTCTAAATATATGCTATAATTAAACCTGCCACCCACTGCTGGTGTTCCCGATGGCAGCTGCCCACAGGGGGAGTTGGCGGGGGGCTGATGATCTAGCAGAGAGGGGAGGCGCCCATGCTGTCTGGGAAGGCTTTGTGAAACCTCATCCAAGCTCTCCCCCCTCCTCCTCCTCCTCCTGCATTCTGCAGAGACCAGCAGGTTTCTTAAGCTCAGACTATGGGGCTTCTTTGACCATAAATTCCCCAACTCTAGTCCCACAGGTCAGTGAGCTGTGGGGGAAATGAGAACCTGTAATGAGGGACCTCATAAGAGGGACCCCAGGCCAGAAACTGGCCTTGTCAGGCTGCTTCTCCAGCCCTGTCAACAGAGCAAAGACTCTGGGTCTCAATCCTGTCCAGACAGCAAATCAAGCCATTTGGGAGCACTTTCTACCCTGAAACATAGCCTCAGCAGTGATTGGCGCTCCCCTTCAACACACACATAGCTGAACCATCACCCTGGTTCAGTCACTCACTACTTCTCTCTGGGCCTTAGTTTGGAAAATCAAAAGGATGAACTAGAGAATCTCTAACATCCCTTCCTAGCTCGGACATTCCATATTCCGAGGTCCCTTCCAGCTCTGACATTCTTCATTCTAAGGTCCCTTCCAGCTCTGACATTCTATGTTCTAAGGTCCCTTCCAGCTCTGACATTCTATGTTCTAAGGTCCCTTCCAGCTCTGACATTCTAAGTTGGAAGGTCTCTCCCAGCTCTGACATTCTATGTTCTATATTGCAAAGCTCCTTCCATCTCTGATGTTCAAGACTTTATGTTCCGTTCCAGTGCTCACACTCTGTGATTCCGAGATTCTCCTGAATTCCTTGGGGATGTGGGGGGAGGTGGGTCTGTAGTTCAGTGTGCCTGGTCTCTTTCCCTGGTTGAGGGAGCCCCTTTGTGCCCCATTGTCCTTGCGGAGGACTTAAGACTCTTCCTGAAAGCAGGAAAGGCCCAGAGGAAGAGACAGCCCTACTCTCTGGAGCCATGTTTACAGAGAGAACTCAGAACTTGGTGACAGTAGCTCTCCATCAGCTGGGAGGAGGGGAAGAGGAGGGGAGGAGGAGGAGCAGGAGCAGAGGCATCGAGGTGTGGAGTGGGGAGGAGCAGCGGAGCTGCTTGGGCTCCCCCTGGGAACTCACGATCTGCTTTTCAAGAGTCAGAGCACAGGAAGTCTGCGGAGCATCGTCTCAGCACGGAAATGCAGTCTGGCTGGCATGTTGGTTGTGAATTCCCTTCCTGCTATAAGCCACAGGTTCTCTCCCTGGCACCATGGAGGTAGGGGTTGGGGCAGCAGGGCTGTCAGAACTTCCTTATATCCTTCCCCCTACCCTAGGGTCATAGAGAGAGAGAGAAAGAGAGAGAGAGAGAGAGAGAGAGAGAGAAGACTCTCTGTACTTGAATGCCACAATCCCAGTTCATTCAATGTCTGGATCTATGCAGTGGTGGTGCAGGGGATACTGCCGGACTTGGAGTCAGGGAGACCTAAATTCCAATCCTGTTTCAGAAGCTTGCAAGTCATTTCGCTTTTCTCTCAGTTTTCTCATCTGCAAAATAGGGATAATGACAGCACCTACCTCAAAGGGTTGTGAGGATGAATGAGACAATCTCTAGTGCTTAAAGCACCACAAAGTTGTTGTTGCTGTTGTCCATGGGAGGGCTGGAAACCTAAGCAGTCTTGGGGGTGGAGAGCAGGCAATGACAGATACCAAAGCCATTTCACTGTGCAGAGGGGAGGGGAGGGGAAGGGAGGGGAGGGAAGAGAAGGAGAGAGAGGAGAGGAAAGGAGAGAAGAGGAGAGGAGGGGAGAGGAGAACAGAGGAGAGGAGGAGGGGGGAGGGA